TAACAAAAGAATCTGTCCTAAGGCCTGAACTAGTGACATTTTAGCCATAAGTTTAATTCCGTAATCACTTAAATACCAGCTGATGCAAATAAGAAAAATCAGTATATTTTACAGTATTGGTTACATTATACTGGAAATGTAATGTGAAAGTAATACAAATGTTTGATACAATGCGAACATTATGGCAGAAATCAATTAATATTATACCATATTATATTGTGTGTTCAGAACAGGCAAGATTGAACTTGTTTAGTGCACATTGGGCTGCACCATGAGACACAGACTGTCCAGACTATTAAGTAACGACCGTTTTGGCTAGCTGGCTCACTGCTAAAGTTAGAACCATATGGAATATGTATTACTTACATATGCCAAATGAAAGAAAAGTTAAAATGATATTTATGTCAACCCAACGGGACTATGAAACAGCCTCTAGGCTTACGCAGGGGAAACAGTCGATTTTCATAAGCAGATTCCGCTCGGATGGAGCTCTTTCCGTACGGATAAACCTTCAAAACATCTACGAGGGGCTCAGGCAGTGCCGCTGCGTGGCTAAGAGGCGGGGAATAAAAGCTAATCCATCAAAACTGTCACGGGACAGACGTACATGGGGGTGACATGTAGCGATGGATACGTCCACGTAGCTCGAGGCTAAATGCACTACTTTTGAGTTGTTTTTTTTTCCAGTTGTAGAAAGAGGAAGAGGAAGTAGTTACCTGTCAGACTGGAATGGAAATTACTTGGGTTTGGAGAGGGAGGGGCATGTAAGAGATCCACCATGACTCAGGTGACACGGAATCATAGCTGGGCCTTGTTTGACAAGTCAGTACTAATTTAACACCATATACCCCGTTAATTCCTCTCCTCTCACCCAGTCAGCGGGCTATGAGTTTGCCCTATGAAGTACTTTGCGAGACTGGTGTGCAGCTCAGTGCCCATGATTGGAAGGTTGCTGGCTCAGTAATTCAACCAATGGGCACGCTATCTGACCCTGCTCTCTGACTCTCTGATCCATTGGGCACGCTGTCTGACCCTGCTCTCTGACTCTCTGATCCAATGGGCACGCTGTCTGACCCTGCTCTCTGACTCTCTGATCCAATGGGCACGCTGTCTGACCCTGCTCTCTGACTCTCTGATCCAATGGGCACGCTGTCTGACCCTGCTCTCTTTTGCGGACAAAAGCATCTGCTAAGTAAGTAAATGTAAATACTTTGGTTGAAAGTAACTGCTGAGGAATAATGCCTTTGCTGTGTGACATCTGATGGTCCGCAGCGCGTGTTTCAGACCTCCGTCTCCCCCAAGCAGGAGCCCCGCTGGTTGCCGTCTTGAAGAGGGGCTGCATTCCTCGCATGCAGACCCCCCCCCCGCGTGCCTGTGTCCGCCACACCCTGTCCCTCCTGCTAATTAGCATCTCCTTCACCCCCCGCCCCTCCCGCGCCTCTTCTACGTCCACGTGACGCCTGTCAGTCAGTTTCGGCACGTCTCAAAGGACACCGTGGGGGCAGGACAATGTCTTTCTGGGGGGGGGTGGGGGTGCTTCTCTCCGAGGTGGGTCTAGCTAAGTGAGCGCTGTGATGTACTCTCCCAGGGAGGTACTGTGAATCTCAGTTTGCAGTTTTCATTGTAAAAGATCCCCCCCCCCCCAGCTTATGTGCTGACGGTCCTTCATGGAACAGACAAACGGTAGGTAGCTTGGCACGGGACCTGGCCCGGCCCCCCCCCCCCCCCCCCCCCCAATCCCCCACAGTGCCAGCATCCGTCATGAGCACCACAGGAGGCACCCGGCAACCCTTCACCACCGCCGAACACCCCCCCCTTTCAAGATGTCAGCTGTCACCATGGCTACAAAGGCCCTGAAGGTTTTCATCCTAAATGTATATGAGACCTGCTCTGATGACATTTGTATCGTTTTTCAGTGACATATACATATGGCTACATTGTATTATGTTGTAAATACAAGCATTATTTCATGAGAATACATTTATGGAATTTTACAGTTGCCCTCCACTGTCCAGTGACATGTGGTTTATGGGGATTGGTGTCTCAGAATTGCCCTTTGTGGGTGTTCATGTGAGAAATGAGTGTCCTGTGTGGGGCCTTGTGCCTTGAGCGTCCAAGGATAATCTTCAGGCTCATCGCAGGCCGGCTTTGGATAAGTGGTTATGAAAGATGAATGGACATAATGCCAATCTTGGGTGGACTGGAGCGAGAGGAAGTGCATTCGCTATGGCCGGGAGGACCATCCTTCAACAACGGCGCGGTCGCGTGACCGCGGCTAAAACGAGCGTGCGCACAAGCCACTGGTACCGGCAAATGTACTGCCTGGGTAAGATCTGCAAAGGTGAGCGCGTCGCTCACCGGGAGGGAGAGCTGGAGGCACCGGCGTGGTTTCCCACACACCATCTGGATGCCGCCTGTGCCGTGGGTCGAAAAACAAACGTGGGTTCCCAGGCTAGTCATCCCAGACAGGTTAGGCTGCGAGGCACGGAGAGCCGCTCCGGGGGTAATGGAGCCCAGACGCGCCTGAGGCTATCCAGGGGTGTTCAGCCATGGAGCGGGCCGGCCCGCCTTCAATGGGCCGTTAATACAGTTCTACTTCCACACAAAGCCAAACCAGCACATCAAATGTGGAGTGGGGAGTGTGTAGGGGGGGGGGGGGGGGTATGCGTTAAAAGAATGTAGCTCCGTGAGGGAGGAAGAGGCAAGAGGAAGCATTAGAAGGGGCCTGAGATATTGTTTGCCTGGGGAAGGGACTCCAGATGCTTTCTGGGAACTCGTAGAATGAGCCCCCACATCCTCCCTAGCGTCCGAGCCTGGGGAGCAGCTGAGCAGAGCTCCTGCTTGGGATCTTTGGGGGTCCATGTCCACGAGGGCTTGGCACGGCGGCTCTGCCCCTGCCACGACTTCCGACCTGAGTTTTGTGTCCCTTTAAGTTTGGAGCACAGATGTAAGTCGTTATGTTACTGGCAAATGGAGAGATTTCTGTAAAATGGTTAACACCAATGTTTTTTTTTTCTTTTTTACTAACTATTTAATAAAATATTTTTAAAGAGGGAAATCGGAAATTGACTGATTTAACTACCACTATTAACTACTTAACTACCATTACTACCACTGCTGCGAATAATTATTACAATAATAATTACAAAAAGAAAACAACAATAACATCAACAACAAGAAGATTTTTTTACTTATTATCTGCAATAATAGTATTAATGTTGTAATTGTCGTTGTTTCTTGCTATAAATTGATCGTGTATTATGGACCGAAATAATCGTCAACTATATTCGTATATAGACTACGACTACGCTAGTGAAATCGCTATGACGAGTGCCCTCTAATGGTCAACTGGGAGAATTTAGGAGGTGGCGGAACATTTTCAAAGATCAAAAAGAGAGAGTTAAGTTTAGTACTACTAGTAATGTGAAGTATTGGTGACATCGGAAGAAATTCATTATGATCACGTGCAAAGAAAGAAAACATATAAACGATTTATGATTAATGTATAAGCCACTTAACCCCAAATCAACTTTGCAATGTTTTTGCATATTGTCTTGGTTTATTGATGAATCGAAATGGATTTCTAATACTAAAAACACATGAAACAGACGAAACAAACAGCTTTCTTTAAAATATAACTTTTGGACGTTGACCCTGAAAATTTTGCAACATAAACATATAATTAAAATCTTCAGCACCTTCAAAAAAGATTTTGAGCTGCGAAAAAAAAGCACTTGGGATTTGTAAGACTGTTATCCGTGTCATTTAACTAAATCTGGGCAAAAAAAGTTATTTATTTTTTGAAGGCGGTCACCGAATTATTTCTAGGTAACCCATACAAGCGCGTGCAGGCTGCCATGATGCACCAAGGTGGGAGGAGGAGGGGGGGGGGGTATCTTCGTAGGCCTCCTGCACACTTACAAGACGCTGGGGAGGTTTAAAGTGCTCTTAAGCTAAGGAAAAATGTACCGCCGATATGCTTGTAATTCGTCTGCTTCGGATATATATATATATATATATATATATATATATATATATATATATATATATATATATATATATATATATCGTGTAAAGCTTAATTTAATGTGGATACACATTTGATAAATTGCATCTCGGCAGCTTTCCTAATGCAGCTGCGGATGAGGGTAAGGAGGATTTATACTAGATTTGAAGGAATTCCTGGAATAATTTTTATTAGTCAAGTGATACTAAGTAAGCCTAATAATTCATTAATAATGATTTTTAATTCATATCTAATTGTCTATATGTACATATCCTCGCAACCTTCGAAAGGCTCGTAAATTAGATTACATATATAATAGATATAATCATGTTTAAAAAGTGAGTCAGTTTATTTTTTAATCACCATACTGTTTTTCTTGGGAAACAAAATGGTAATAATTACTGCTGGAGTACGGGAGTAAAATACACTCCAAAGACCTATATTTTGTTTATTTGCAGTTAATTTCTTATCTAAGTATTTTGAACCTATGGAAGGACCAAGTCTAAGCTATCATTAAAGAGAACGGAATGAGGCGAGAAACGACAGTTTAAGTAGAGGAGAATGTGTCATTCTTTTGCGGGTAGAAAAGGAGGGGGGAGTTGTTTTAAAAACGCTAATCGTCTGTAATCCTTTTAATACGTCTCACACTTTGCATTGGCAATACACAAGTCAGCTATCCCAGTGTCTGTATTATCCCGGGAGCGACTCTTTATTGCCGTATAAAATGATACAAACTGACCTTTGAAAATTTGCGACGAAACCGTTACATAGTGTTTTTCACATCTTGCGCTGGTGCGCTGAAGGACTAATATATGCAATGGGATTATACAATTCGGCTTTTTAATTTAAAGGGAATACATTATTTACATGTTGCATAAATATCGTCTACTTTAAATACACGGATTTGCTTTTTAAATTTAATCTTTTCTTAAATATTGGATTATTAGTTAATTACAGCTCCATGCAAACGTGCAGTGCATTGCAACTTATGCAGAGAGGTGTGATAACTCGTGCGGTGTTACACAAGCCCCTCCCGCAATAGTTGACTTGTTCCTCAGGTGAGAGTATATTTTACATGCAGGGGGAGGGGGGTCGCTTTTGTTCGCTAGGGAAAGGGGGCTTGCTCCTTCAGGATCGTCCTACCATTTTAACCGGAGTGAAAGCGTGAACGAGGTTGACACTGGGGACTGGCAATGGAAAGCAGAGGAGGGAATAAGGGAGAGAAGTCAGTGCTGCACCGCTGCTCATTGAAGCCACATCACCCATAGCGATAAGCAGCTCGGCGTGATCTGAGAGGGACCGTCACTCCGGGATCCTAACTAATTTATCAAGAGAATAAGCCGCAAAGTCAGCGCTACGGATTTGATCTCCAGTGGAAACTTCTTTGGTTTATCAGAATATACATTTGCGTTAAAGCATCTACTATAATTTGTTTACAGGAACATTAACGGACACAGGATGACTTTTTTTTCTGTGACTAAATGTATGATTTATATTGCAAAAAAAGTTTTTTCGTTCTAACTTACATGGCGCATTTTCGAAGATGTACCGGCTCAGTTTTCCACAATGTCCACTCAGAAGTAGTTGATATATGAGTATAATGAGTCTGAAATGACACTTGTTATCAGGATTGATAGGTGCAGTTTTCAGGCATCATATGATACTACCGGTCATCACTGAGGACGTGTAATATTGTGTTATCGTCGCCGCAATATGGACATTTTTACACTTATTTAAATATATTCCTCCGTTTTTTTAACTGAATCCACGCTGTCACTTCTTTATATATATTTTTTTCTGTTCGGGATTTCTAAAATATTTCGTTCCGTTGCCTGCAACAGAGATTTAAAATATCGAAAGCTCCGTCTTTCCCATCAGTTACATGATATCTGCATAATCTAAGTGCAGTGCAATTTCAGTCAGCGACGCGAATTCTACTCGAAAGGTCAAAATGAAAATCCTACCATCAAGACTTAGCTATGTGTAAGTACTATATATTTCCAATCAAGCAACAACCCCTTGAATGTGTTGGCGATGCATCATTGAGAGATTTCCACTGACGACTGCTCTCTCTTGCAGGTTTCTTCACTTTTTTGCATTTTGCTACTACGCTCAGGTACGTAGGCTTCGTCTCTCCGCAATATCATCCCGACTGTTAACGGCTTTGTTCTTATTCGTTATCATTTTAATACTGAATTCGCGAACGTGCATAGTGCGCGCACAGCTCGCGCTGCTCGCATGGTATCGTAATGTGACATAACTGATGTCATGAGTTAGACATGGTTACGGCGCACACTTCCTAATTAATCGCATTTATTCCTGCACACCTGAAATAGACCGGGTTAAATTAGGATATCATATAGAAAATGAAGTGATATTGTATCTTACTGACGTAGATCGTTAAATGATATAGATGGGAATATAGGGTGAGGTGTCTTTGGGGTATAAGCGTGATCAGTGCTGGAGTGGACGGCGGCTATCGCAGCCTGTGCAGCTCGTCACGAACTGGCAGGTATTTGGGAACATATTGCTCCATGCAGAGGATGCAAGGGTACAAACACGCCGGAGGATGCCAGAGGCACTTCGGTGGGAATGAGTTTTAAGGCCAGAGCCTGAATAAGCAATACCCCGTCTTCTTTTTAAGAATATCCCCAAAGTCACGGAGATCTCTATTTCACACACACCGTCCGGGGTGCCACGGTCATTTAAAGGGTTACGACACATTAAGCGTAAATTCATTCCATACATCTCGAGCTGTTACTGTTTTTTTGTTCATGTTTATTTTTTCATTTATTTATATATACTGTTTCAAGAAAGTGAATAGATCAAAAGTTTCGGTCATTGTGGACATTTTCCCCATGCGATCTGAATAGATTTACTGTATTCTACCTTACCGCTGTGATATGATTTTGGACAATTGAGATATTTATTTTTGACACATTGACATAAACTTATTTAATATGATGATTATGGTGTAGCAACTTTCGCACGTGTGTTTGCCCAAGTTAAGCAATTAGTCAGGCACACCTGGATCCATATTGACCTTATACAGCTTTAATCAAAATCAGTTAAGCGGTTCAGTAAATATTTACTGTGCTACGTTTAATTTCCTACAGGTAACTATTCAGTCTCCGCCTAATTTTACGCAACATGTGAGCGAGCAGAGTAAAGTGACGGACCGGGTCAGCAGGAGACTTATTCGGACCTACCAGCTTTACAGCCGGACAAGTGGGAAACACGTCCAGGTCCTCGGAAACAAGAAAATCAACGCCATGGCCGAGGATGGAGACGCTTTCGGTAAGATACATGCCAATCAGCCTTTAAAGTTTTAGGGATAATTCGTAAATTACCGTATATACCGGAAACAGCTATTGTTAATAAAGTTGGAAGAACTTCATAAACACCGGCAACTTGCTTTTTAAAAACATTCCCTGAAAACACTGTAAGTTTACATTAATGCATATCAGACGTAGCCTATATAGCCTAATAAAAATAAAATCTCTGCATAGGCACTAAATTTCAAAATATTTTTGTGACCATAATATTTCTGAGAACCGCTGTTACTATATGCACACGTTATGAATTGAGTCCGTAGATTAACAGTATAAAATAAAGAAGATAAAATAGGCTACTTACAGGATATTAGCATTGCTGGTAAATATCAAGGTGTCATTTTCTTTATGTATAAATTTAATGTGAATGCAGTTAGATGGTGAGGCGGGAACTTTCACCTAGTAAAGTTTGACTGACGACGAGTTGACTGACCAAAAAAAAAATAAAAAAAAATGGATTTTGGATTTTTCAGATTGTCACTCTCCAGAGAAACACGTCTGGAAGAGCCATTAGAAGTCATCTTAATATTTCCGGAATAGCTCTCCCTCTGAAAAAGATGTCCCGTCCATTTCTAAAATCCTAATTCTTAGTTTCACCCATGGGATTCCTTGAGCAGAGTTGTGCCATTCTGTCGCTTAAACCGGCAAAACGCATCTAAAAATAAATAATAAATGCACCACAATTAATTATCAGTGGGCTTTTATAGAAACGTAAAATAGACAACGTTTTTTTAAAAAAACTACATTATAGACATATAATTAAATTCACCTACGAGAGGTTTATTGTATATTGAATTTTCTCGATACCTATATTTAAATGAATTAAGCGTGTTTTCTGTTTCGGATTTAGAACTAATGTCATGTTAGTGCAGCAACAGTGAATTACGGTTTGATTGCATAGAGTGATATTGGTCACCTATTTAACACCAGTGAGAGGCCCTTAAGGTAGACTGAGTTAGTGGGCTTGCTCTGAAGGTCCTTATTTGGCCTAAAGCCTTAATATTACATGGGTGACGGTGTTTGGAGAAATTAAGCAACAGTATTGCTGGCGGGACATATTTGCTGGGGTGAGGGGAAGGAGAGGAACACCCCCGAGGGCAGGGAGCGAAATCCTACAGCATGTGCGTCTGGTTCGTGTGGCCGCCTTCCAATGCCGGCCCCCTTGTCTTCCCCGCGCACGTTTTGGGACCTGCAGTCCGTGTCTGAGCGATGTGTCAAAGTGGGTGAGAGGCCATTGTGGGTCAGCTCCCTATCTGAACGACACCCAGGACCGCCGCAGGCTGTAAGGCTCGGTACCCGTGGATGCAGAAACAGAACCAGACCTATCAGCCCTTGCAGGTTTCAGGTCCAGCTGGGCCTGATACCATTAGATCTGCATGGTTTAGGAATTTTATTACATTTTTAGAAAGAGAGTTTATAGTGTTGTTGCCCTACAATCAAATAAATAGAATAATTTTGGTAAAAGAAACAGCTTTGTATCTGAACATATAATAATTTGTACTATGTCTTTGTAGATTTTTTGTTTTTAATTAATAGATAATTTTATTCACGTTCATGGCCGCTTGGCATGTTCTAAGGATAAAAGACTAAAGGTGTGAAGTTCATTCGCTGCTTGATGTAGATGTAATTCTAAAATGTTATCAGCTTAAATCTGTATCTTTAATCGGTCAAAAATTGCAGTTAAGCTCCTTGATTGGGCAGAGTTAAGTCGGCAGTTTGCGTCCCTGTGATTTACTGCACGCTGCAATTTGCAATTTTATCGGCAGATTTTTTTCCGATATCCACAATGCAGACAATTTGCTGTATGTGTACGATACAAATATAGGATTACAGAGAATTTAATAATCCTTCCAGGGTTGCCCCTTTTCTCTTTAAAAGGATTGGGCTACACGTGTTTTTATCATTTTGCAGGGGTCCTCGCTTGCATAAATCTCCAGATATATCCCCCGCAGGTTTACTGCTTGTGTGTGCATGCGTGTTTGCATCCTTGCATGCTTAAGCCATTTATAAGGGATGCATCATCTGTAACCCAAGAGTGGGCTATCACACAAACTGAACTCCCATTCGGGCGTGACCTTGTCCAAAGGTGGGAATTTATCACATGTAGCAACTAGTTATGACTGTTTGATCCCTCAAGTGAAGAGTCCTTTGTTTGTACCCCTTCAGCTAAACTCATTGTGGAGACAGACACATTTGGAAGTCGGGTTCGAATTAAAGGAGCGGAGACGGGATTCTACATCTGCATGAACAAACGTGGGAAGCTGATTGGCAAGGTAACTACACCCTTTACCGATACTGATTTGAATTACAGTGTCATCTGAATTAGAATCAGAATCAGGTTTATTGGCCAAGCTTGTTTACACAGACAGGGAATTTCTCTGCAGTTGTCTGTCAGTGGTTCTCATAAATACAGTAGATACACAGTTAACAAAAGACCAAGCCAGTGCTGCCATACAATTTGGATGATATATACAATGTGCATGCAGGACCATAGGAAGTGAGGGGGGTTCATTTGGATTAATTCATCTCCGCCAATCATTAGACCCTTGCATTTAAATTATTAAGTTGCGCCCCATCCCCTCCCCTCCCCCCAATATTGAACTCTCCCCCCAACCCGAGGTGTGCATGTGTGGATGATAAATGTCTGAAAACTGAAGCAGAGGATGTCATTATAAGGAATTCCTCAGTAAATGTGATATGCCCAGAACAATACAATAAGTAAAAGGATGTTTAAATATAACTGTAATAATAACCAAGGAGTAACATAATTAAATACAGGAATGCGTAGCCTGAAAGCTTTACATTTCAGAGAGATGCTTTATTTGGCCTGATTTTGTAGCCTTGCATCAGTATAAGACGAGATGAGCGGATGGTACCACTGTGAGGTAAATGGGGTGAACGGAGTGCAGACCCCTCCTTACTGTTTTGGTTTTGACTCCCCTCCTCTGCCGTTATGAATTGTTGGGGTGATGGAGTGAAAGCAATCGGATCCTCCCTCTCTTTTTCGGTGGGCATTTTTTGTTCCAGGCATAGATTAATGCCTCGTTCTTGCTGCGTACGGTAATAAACCGGGATGCACACCCAGCACCGTCCCCCCCGCCCCCCCCAGCACCCTGCCGGGACCGCCATCTGGCCAAGACCCTGATCTTATTCTCCCTGACATGTTGGCCCCCCTCAGCACCGCCTGGATGCCACTTTTGGGTCGATAGGTGTGCTTGGAGGTGCTCGCTGAAATGCCTGGTTTATTTTTAACAGCCCGTTTTGTTAAGTGGTCCGAGGTGCGCATGTGCCCTGTGTTTGGCTCACTCGGGACGCAATATGCGGCAGGCCTGTGGGGGGGGGGGCGGTGGGGGCAGGGCTGGAGAGACCATGACTATGTTACGTGTCCCTAGACTCACCGGCCAAGGCAGAAATCTCATACTCCCAGTCTCATCCTATGCCAGCACTCCCTTTCGACATTTCACATACATTCTCGCAAATTTCAAAAGCATCCCTTATTGATTAATATTAATAATATTGAGTCGATCCACCTCTTAAAAGATTGTTAAAGAATACGACAGTGGCAGTTACACGGAAGAAATGTGTGTGAAGCTGACTTAAGATGATTGCATTGCTGAAAAGGGCAGATATCAAGAAGAGTCTTAAAGAAACAGTAACCCAGAATGTTCTAGAACGTGGGGGGTGGGGAAGGACTTCTTGGTAGAATTTTAGAAAGACTGGTCAGTTGGATTGCGGAGGCACTGTTGACACAAGTGATAGCCAATCGGTCCAGCCTGGCCCTACCTGGGGAGGGAAACGCCGAAATGCAAGGCGCTCTCCAGTAGCACTTTAAGCGGTGACCCGCGACAGTCTCCATGCGGCACGAGGGCTGCAGGCCAGGGTGGGGGCCGCACTTGTGTTTGCTTAAGGGGCAAGACGTCGTTAGCCTCTCTGGTCATCCCGCTGCCCCTTGATCTCGGGGCGTAATGTGTTCAGCACATGCTCTGCTCTCATGGGGAGTTTCCGCCCGAATGGAAACCAGTGCCGGCCGCGTTCAGGTCTCACTCCATGAGCTCGTTTTGGCAAACCCCACTGTGACTAAACACGCCCCCCCCCCCCCACTCCTTCTCTCACCCCCTCAGAGGAACGGCCAGGGCAAGGACTGCGTCTTCACGGAGATCGTCCTGGAGAATAACTACACGGCGTTACAGAGCGCCAAATACGACGGCTGGTACATGGCGTTCACCAGGCGCGGCAGGCCCAGGAAGGGCTCCCGGACCCGGCAGCACCAGCGGGAGGTCCACTTCATGAAGAGGCTGCCCCGGGGGCACCACGTCGCCGAGCACCGGCCATTCGACTTCATCAACTACCCTTTCAACCGACGGACTAAACGCACCCGCCACACGGGGCAGCGCTGAGCCCGCGGAGGGCAAAGCGGAACCTCCATATCGGCTTCTCACTGTGCCCTGTACAGCAGCGTACAGAACGTTCATATTCCTAATATTTAGTTGTTCATAATTTTTCAGAAAGAAAAAAACATAAAAAAAAAAGAAAGTCATCTATTTTTGTACTCGGATAGAAAATGTTTTATGATTTTAGGGAACGGTTTAGTTAGCAAAGCATATGATTGGTCGGGCGTACCGACGTTAGTGGACCTCTCCCCAGTGGTTTCGCCTGGAAGTTTTAGTCACTGCTACACATCGGATGCTGCTTAAGGAAACTTGAAGGGTCCCTGGGAAGCTGTGCTGAGGACAGGCAGCGTCGTGGCCACCCGAACACATGCCCACCGGGTCCTCGGCCAGTCTGGGGCTCGGGTCTTGTCCAGGGAAAACATGCTTACTACCAATACAACTTTAAATGGCAGCCCAGCCAGCCAACCCAGGTCCTCTGCTGTTCTTTTAACTGTAAATCTGAGGTGTAAATGTTTCGTTTTACTCGTAGAAGTACTCTGTTTCTGTTACATTTTGTTTGTTTTTATACATATATAAATATATTTTTATTCAAGGATGTGTATAATAATTTTAATGATGGAATATTTATTTAAAAATGTGTAATAAATTGACATTAGAATACTGCCCTAGCTGCCTGTTTGATCATTCACATTTTACTTATTCCGCTTTCATCCAAAGTGACATACAGGAGAGAAAACAGGGAGGGGGGGGGGGGGGGTTAGATGCCTCGCTCAAAGGTCCAACAGAGGATCCACTCAACCAACTGAGATTTAAAGTGGGGGTCTTCAGATTGGAGAAACGACGTCCTAAGCAGCTAAGACACACTAAAAGTTGGGTCCCATACTAACACTGCCACCTGTTTGATCATTAATGCAGTACGTGGTTTATGCCCCAATGATCACGGACATTGTACTGTTTTATTGTGCCTTAATTTATTATTGTGTTACTTTTTATGTCTTTTTGCTTTCACGGTTTATTGCGGCAGAGTTGACCACCTTGCAGTTCGCTGCAGGTCACAGTCTGACTCTATACCCTGCGTGTGACAAAACCCTTGAATCCTTGAATAACAGAAAACATGCTGAAGTCTCATGGGCATCGATCCGGCCAAGCTGTGACAGTGGTGACCACCTGGGGAAAGTGAACTTGGCCGTTGGCTTCCTATCATTGGTAAACGCGGAGCCTCCCTCAGCCACTCGCATCGCGCCTGTCTATTCATCCCCGGCTGCTGACGGGGCGTTATGCCGGAGAGGAGGACTCAGCATGCTACGCAGGAAGGGCCCAGCTGGCCAGGAGCGTCATTCTGCTGCTCCTTTTGCACCAAATGCCTTTTTGTCTATATCTCTTCTTTCCTTTTTTTCTCATTTACAGCAACCCAGCCACTGTAAATTGCCCCTCTCCGGCTTTATGTCCCGGAAATAACTCGGCGTCACGAGTCAGAGCACCCAACGCATCTTAGCTTTGCGTCGATGATGCTGCTGAGAGCCGTGAGCGGAGGAGCAGAAGCCTGGCTGAGCCGGGGCCAAAGGGGCGTGGCCTCTGGCTGAGCTGGGGCCAAAGGGGCGTGGCCTCTGGCTGAGCCGGGGCCAAAGGGGCGTGGCCTCTGTGCCACTCAGAGCTCTTAGATCAACGCCGCAGTGGGGGGCTCCCTGGGAGG